CGGGGAGGTGACCCGCCGCTCGGGGCGCGGCGTGCCCGGCGTGTGCCGCAACGGCGGCCCCTGCACCAACGGCGCCGACGGGGGCTTTCGCTGCCAGTGCCCGGCAGGCGGCTTCGAGACGCCCTTCTGCGAGGTGTCCACGCGCTCCTTCCCACCGCGCTCCTTTGTCATGTTCCGGGGCCTGCGCCAGCGCTTCCACCTCACCCTCGCCCTCTCGTGAGTCTTCTTCCCTCCTCCTCTGGACACTGGCACCTGGGCCCTGCTCTGGTAGCTCTTGTGCACCCTGGGCCTGTCCAGGGACTTGCTGGTGCTCTCCAGACCCCTGCATGACCAGCTTTGCCTCGCCATGGGGCTGCCCTGGCGCCTTGAGCCAAAGGGCTCTGCATTTGCACTGGCACATCTCCCCTGGCATCAGCTCGTCCCTTCCTTCAGTGCCTCTGCCCTTCCCTGCTGCCAGCTCTCTGCCTCCATGCCAGGCCCTCCTACGCTCCCAAAGCATCTGTTGGATCAAGCTCCCAGCCCCTTCCCAGCTGGGCTTGCACCCGGGGCCAGGTCTCACCTTGTCCCTGTGCCGGGATGCTGGTGTGCGCCACGAGAGAGTGGGATCTCCGCGTGCTTCTTGCGCACACCCTGCCCTCCCGCTTCCTCCCTTGCCCCAGGTTCAGCACCGTGGAGCCCAGCGGCCTCCTGCTCTACAATGGGCGCCTGAACGAGAGGCACGACTTCTTGGCGGTGGAGATCATCCAGGGGCAGGTCCAGCTGAAATACTCCACAGGTAGGCTCGGCCCTGTCTGTCGCGGGATTTGTGCCGTGGGAGCTGCGAGAAGGCCTGCGCTGAGCGGGGAGAGTGGGGTGCTGCCCTGGATGGAGCCCACGCTAAGGGAGACGGGGTTGAGAGAGGTGTTGGTGAGCGTCAGTGGATGGCACAGAGGATGGGTGTGTGTCTCAGGGCCCTCCCTAGGCTTAGGAGTGCAAGCGCAGCCAGGGGGGTTGTGAGCACAAACCGGGACAAACCCTTTTGAGGTCTCTCCTGCCGTTCTGCCCCGTTATGTCATCGGGAGCTTCATCTGCTGCCTTGCCGTGAGCCAGTCTGCAGAGGAGGCGGCTCTTGGGAGGGTGTTCGCTATCCTGTCGGTCTCATCCCTGCTGCCTCGTGCCATTGCTGTGCCCATCCTGTGCCCATCCTGCCTGCCCCGAGGGGTGTCAGGATCAGCTGCCAGGAGCACTGAGCCCTTGCGTTCACTACTGGGGCTTCCCTCCCGTCCTGTGTCCAGTGCTCCTCTCCCCTGGTGGCCATCCTGCTGCTGCTCTGGGCTCCTCACGGCAAGGCCCAGCACTGAGTGGCTGGTGAGGGGCTGGCCGCACGGTGCCAGGGCACCCCGGTAGTCAGCCTGGATGGAGGAGCCATCCTAGTGTGCTGGCTGCCGGTCCCAAGGCTGTGATTCCCCCGCCCTGCTCCTGCCACAAGGCCGCAGCACGCCGGGGCTGGTGTGCCAAACTTGTCTTTCTGAAGCCCTTCTCCATCCCTGCGTGAGGCTGTCGGCAGCGCAGAGGGCTTGGTGCCCGCAGGAAGGGCGGGTGCGTCCGAGGGCTGTCCAGCTTCCCTCAGCGTGCCGTCATCCCTGTCCCCGCAGGAGAGTCCAGCACGGTGGTGAGCCCCTACCTGCCGGGGGGCGTGAGCGATGGGCAGTGGCACACGCTGCAGCTCCGCTACTACAACAAGGTACGTGCACCCCGGCTGTCCCCCCACGTGCGTGGGTCTCTCTTCCTGTGAGGTGTGAGCGAGCGGCTCTGGTTTTCCGGTTCTCCGGCCCTGCCCCAGGAGGGAGGCTGTAGAGAGAAGGTACAGGTAGTTTTCAGCCCTTGGGGATGGGTGCAGTGAAGCAGACAGCTGGGTGCAGGGAGAGATTGACCCTCAGGACCGCACTTGGAGGTGGCAGAAATGTGCTCTGCGCAGTGTCCTTGTCCGTATCCATCTCTGGTGCTGATGGCTGGGCTCGGACAGAGATGTCCCTCCTGCTTCGCTCGCGCTCCAGCAGCACGGCGCTGCCTGGACTGTGCTCAGGCCCTTTCTTTGCTGTCGTGCGAGGCCTTGGGTGCCTGGGTCTGGGGCCATGTGTGCTGCTAACACCCTGCGTTTGGTTTCAGCCCAAGGTCAGCGCCCTGGGGGTGGTGCAGGGCCCCTCCAAGGACAAGGTGGCCATCTTGACAGTGGACGAATGTGACGCCTCAGTGGCCCTGCAATTTGGCAGCGAAATTGGGAACTACTCCTGCGCTGCAGAGGGTGTGCAGACCAGCTCGAAGAAGTGAGTTCCTCGGGGACTATGTGGGGAGAGGAGCAGGGCGCCTGGGTCCCCTTCAGAGTCAGCCCTTCACATCTGGCACAGCTGTAGTTCCAGGGGCCTCGGCTGTGTGTGCCTGTCTCCGGGGATTTCTGCTTCCCAGCCCCTTGCGCTGGGGAGCCAGCTGTCTGGCCTGAGGTCGCTGTGGCTCTTAAAGCCCTGGGCTTCTGTCCTTGCAGGTCCCTGGACCTCACAGGTCCCTTGCTCCTCGGAGGGGTCCCCAACCTGCCGGAAAACTTCCCTGTCACTCACCGGGACTTTGTGGGATGCATGAGAGACCTGTACATTGACAGCAAACGCATTGACCTGGCCTCCTACATTGCCAACAACGGAACCGCTGCAGGTATCTGCTGCTCTGCTCCTGCCAGCCCCTGCCCTGGGAATTGCCCCTCCTGCTCACGCAGCAGCACTGCCGGGCTGTAACAGTGGTGTGGCAGGACAGCTGGAGCTGAACAGCTTCCCGTCGGGAAATGGGGCCTCAGATCCCCCTAAATGAGCCAGTCCCCCATCCCAGCTAATGTTCTGGGAATGTCCCCTGATCCCAAGTGCAAAGCCTGCAGAGATGGCCTGTCTGGGAGATGCCAGGTAGCCAGTCCACCTCCGCAGTGTCTTTCTTCTGGCATAAGGAGCAGCGACAGCCCCGATCCTCATCCCTGAGCACGCAGGGTCTGTGCTGGGAGGCGGAGCGGCTGGGCTTGCCCCTCTGGCAGCCAGGGAAAGGGCTGGGGGACAGTGGTGTCCCCCCACGTGGGCTGGAGGGAGGTGGTAAGCAGGTCAAGGCTGATGTGGGTGACTTTGATACCTCCAGGCTGCCACGCCAAGCACACGTTTTGTGACTCCAGCCCCTGCAAGAACGGTGGCACCTGCTCTGTCAGCTGGGGGACCTACTCCTGCCTCTGTCCTGTTGGCTTCGGGGGCAAAGACTGCCGCCACCGTGAGTGAGCGGGCGCTGCTGGGCGTGGGCAGGGTGGGTATGGGCAAGACTGTGCTGGGTGTGCTCTGGAAACAGGGTAAGGGGTCCGTGTGAGATGAACTAGCTCTGCTGTCTCTGCACCTAGTGCTCCCTGTGTAGTGCCCATCCCTTCTCACCTCCACTTTCCTTTCCAGCCATGCACCATGCCCACTATTTCCAGGGCAACAGTGTCCTGACCTGGGACTTCAAGACAGACGTGAAGATCTCAGTGCCGTGGTACCTGGGGCTGGCATTTCGGACGCGGCAGCCAGACGGGGTGCTTCTGCAGGCCCATGCTGGCCAGTATACCACCCTGCTCTGCCAGGTAGGGCCGCAGGCTCAGCCGCAGCACTGAGTCCCAGCCTCTACTGCCATCCGCCCCAGGAGAGCAGGAGGACCCTGCCCTCCACGTTGACCCCAGCCCAAGCAGAGGGTGGTTGCGGGGAGAGGTGTTTAGCAGGGCTGGGTTTCCCTCCCCATGCTCAGAGGGAGGGTAGGCTGGAGGCAGCCAGAGCTGGCACGGCCTTCGCTCACTGCTGCCCTTGCTGTCTCCCTCTGCAGCTGGCTGGGGGCCTCCTCTCCTTCATGGTGAGCAGAGGGTCTGGCCGCAGCACCAGCCTCCTCCTAGACCAGCTGCAGCTCAGCGATGGGAGATGGCACGACCTCCAGCTGGAGCTGCGGGATGTCCGCAGTGGGCGAGACTCACGCTACGTTATCACCCTCACCCTGGACTTTGGGCTCTACCAGGTAAGTGCTGCTTGAGAGCCTGGCACCAGGACAGGAACCATGGGGGATGCTTGGCATACCTGGGCCGGGCTCGGCCTCCTCACGCTCAGAGAGGGCTAGGGCAGGAGAGGGACAGGGCTGGGGCAGGGCTAGTGCCAGGTGCCCCACGTTGCTCCCTGTCCTTCTACAGGACACAGTGGTTGTTGGAAATGAACTGCATGGCCTGAAGGTGAAACACCTGCACGTGGGGGGAGTCCTGGGATCTGGCGAGGTGCAGAACGGGCTGAAGGGCTGCATACAGGTGAGTCCATTGCTCCGAGCCTTCCCTTTCCAGTGGGTCTGTTGCATGGAGAGGTGGAAACACAGGCCTGGTAGCTGCTGCCAGCGTCCATCCTGCTGGTGACAGTCTCCCTCTGAGCATTCAGGGCTCCGAGGTGCCGTGGGGCAGCCATAAATCAATGCAGCAGGGGTGACGGGGGCTGGCTGCTCCTAGGGGTTTGCAGAGGGCATGAGGACTGGAGCCTCGCGTGTGTGTCCTGGCTTCACCGTGAATTTGTCACCTGCATTGCAGGGTGTGCGACTGGGTGACAGCGTCACCGGGACCGCCCTGCCCAAGCCCAGCCATGCCCTGCGGGTGGAGGCTGGCTGCAGCGTGCCGAGCCCTTGCGACTCCAGCCCCTGCCCGGCCAACAGCATCTGCAAGGATGAGTGGCAGAGCTACTCCTGTGTCTGCCAGCCAGGTAGGGCCTGCAGCGCCCTGCCACCCCACTGTTCTCCATGCCTGTCTGTCTGCTCCTCTCCCCCTGTGGCTCCCTCCTGGCCTGTGACTGCCCTCCTGCCCATCCCCTGGGCAAGTCCTGGGCCCAGAAATCCCTGCCAGACACTCATGAGTTTTTGTGGGGAACAAAATCCCTCCTGAGCCCCCTGATTCCACTCCTGGGTGCTCTGGCCCTTCTCAGGGGGAAGGTGCTTGCTTTACACGGTGTTCTCTGTCCACACCTCAGGGTATTACGGAGGGGACTGCGTGGATGTGTGTCACCTCAACCCCTGCAAGAACAAGTCTGTGTGTCGCCGCAAGCCTGGCTCACCCCTGGGCTACGTGTGTGAGTGTGGAGAGAACTTTTTTGGGCAGTACTGCGAGCACAGGTGAGATGTGGAGCACAGGGCAGGGCCATGGCTCATCCCGGCTACGTGACCAGGGACCTCTCAGTGCCACTCGGCTCCTTGGAGCTGCTGAGCAGCTGGGCTGGTGGAAGGAGAAGGCCCGGAGGATTTGGTTGTTGTGACAGTGGGGTATTTCTCTCCCTAGGATGGACCAGCAGTGTCCGAAGGGCTGGTGGGGGAACCCCACCTGCGGGCCCTGTAACTGTGATGTGAACAAGGGCTTTGACCCCGACTGCAATAAAACCAACGGGCAGTGCCACTGCAAGGTGAGGGGCAGCTGTGCCCATGGGGACGTGGCCTATGGCTTGCCTGGATCCCTGCTTGTCCTTGATGCTGTTCCTTGTCCCCCCCAAAGGCCTGGGAGTTGCCCAGGCTCTGGTTTGTGTGCCCACCTCTGGGCTGGATCCCTGCTCAGCTCTTCTGCGCGTCCCTCCTGCCCCAGCATGGTGATGGTGATGGGGGCAGTGGGGGTGCTTGCAAATCGGGAGAGCCTGGCCCTTTTCTGCCCCAGCTCCAGCAGTTCCCCAGGCGCTGGCCTCGGCTGCTGTCCTGATGGGCTCTGATGGCTGTCCCCGTCTCCCCTCAGGACTTCCACTACCACCCCAAAGGCAGCGACGCCTGCCTGCCTTGCGACTGCTACCCCGTGGGCTCCACCTCGCGCTCCTGCGACAAGGAGACGGGCCGGTGCCACTGCCGGCCTGGGGTCATCGGGCGCCAGTGCAATAGCTGCGACAGCCCTTTTGCCGAGGTGACGCCCAGCGGCTGCGAGGGTGAGTGTGGGCACAGCGGGGAGCTGGTGCCGCGGGGCTTGGCATCAGTGGCCTCCCCCTGTGACCGGCCCCTCGGCGTGCCTGTCTCCACAGTGCTCTACGATGGCTGCCCCAAAAGCCTGAAGGCGGGTGTGTGGTGGCCCCAGACCAAGTTTGGCTTCTCGGCTGCGGTGCTGTGTCCCAAAGGCTCCTTGGGTGAGTGGGGGATGTGATGGGGAGGGAGGGGGCAGCCTGGCTGTCCTGCCAGGGGCTGTAGCAGCCCCAGCAATATCGCTCTGTTCTCGTGCTGTCCCAGTCCCGTTTAGCTGGGCTTGAGGGCTGGGTGAAGGAAGTTGGAGGAGAAAATGCCGCAGCCTGGGGGAGAGCAGAGGGGGCTGGCCATGGGGCTGGGAACAGGCTGTAGGGTCTAGGCCCGGCCCTGGGGCTGTGCTGTTCCTTCAGCCTTGGTCCCCACCTTCTCCCTGCTGCTTTTGGCTTTCAGCGGGCTCGAGGCTGGGGTCAGGCTTGGCATGGCAGCTTGGCACCCACAGCGCCTTGCTGCGGCTCTGCCGGCCCCATCCTTGGTGTGCGCTGCGAGGGGAGCAGGGCACAGCGTGCCGTTAGGTGAGTGTCTCGGGTAGGAGTCACGTCCCGAGCGGGAGGAGGCTGTCCTCGGTGACAGCAAAGGTGTGAGCAGGGTGACTGGGACTGCAGGGCAGCGCGAGCCCCAGGGGACAATACAAACCCTGTCCTTCTCCAGCCGTTCGCCCCGGGAGGAGGCAGGTTTGGCTCCTAACTGTTGTCGCTTCTCTCCCCGGTTCTCTCGCCCTCCGTGCTCAGGCTTGAGGGGTGCAGGTAAGGTTGCTCCCATCTCCTTTCCCCTGTGCTGTAAGGGCTGCGCCATGCGGCTTTCTCTCCCTGCACCCTGCCTGGCACCCTGCACACCCCTGCACTTTCCCCACCGCTTCTGGAGCTGCCGAGTGTCTTCCCAACGCTTTGCCTGGCCTCACCGCTCCTACACGCCGCTTTCCTGCTCCCAGCACACTAACCAGCACAAACCCGGCTGCAGCCGCATGCAGCCCCTGCCACCCGCTGTCCTGAGCCTGCAGCTTTGGCTTTGGGCAACTCCGCGCTCTGCTCCCCGGCTGGGATGGGTGCTGGCTCTCCCGGGCTGGTACCCGCTTGCTTAGGCTGGGAGGGGAAGGAGCTGGTGATGAGCAATGGGTAGTGAGGCCGTGGAGGCCATGGAGGAATGGCCGTGGGGTGGAGGAAGGGGGAGCTGTTTGAACGGGGGCAGTAGGACGGGGGTAGGAACTGATGGGCATGCTCAGCACAAGGTCCTGTTCCCTCTGCCCCTCTGCAGAGGGACCTGGGGGCTGGATCCTGCCCAGATCTGCAGCTGAGCTGATCTCTGTTCTCTGCCGATCCCTCTTCTCTGCCAGGGGAAGGCCAGCAGTGTGGAGGTTTCTTTGTTCTCCCTGCTCCCAGCTGCAATGGCACTGGTCCCTGTGCTTCTGCAGCTGGGCGAAAGGTGGTTGGGGAGGACAGCTGGGAGCTGGCGATGGTGGGAGGGGGCACGCTAGTCACTGGGGCTTTTCTGAGCAGCAACTGGAGTCTGCTCCAGGCTCCCTCTCCCCGCCCTGGCCACACTGCTGCCCTCTCCCAGCCGTGGGCGCCTGGGTGGGCTCCTGTGCCCTGGTGCCTTCCCCAGGAGGGCCTGCCAGGTACGCTGGGGTCGCCCGGGTTCCTTTTGCTCAAAGCACACGTGGTGACGCTCCCAGCCCAGGACACCGCTCTCCATGTTGGCTTTAGCAGTGCTTTTGGTGGTGGTTGACAGCTGATCCCATTCATTGCTGGTATCTCCGTTGCTGTGCGGTAGCGCTTGGGCCCTGGCCAGGGACTGGGGTCTTGCGCTGGGTACTGAACCCACGCTGCTGGATGGGTGGTCCTCCATCCCACTCCTCCATCCCACTCGGCTGCAGGGGCTCGTCTCCAGGGCGGGTTTGCCAGCCCTGCAGCAGGGGTGTTGTCCTCCTGGAGTGACTTTGCCCTGCAGAAAGAGGCAGGACCTCAGCAGACATTGCAGGCTGTCAGATGGGGGATGCCTAGAGCTGCATGGGCTTCAGTAGGCTGGGGTCAAATGTGCCCTGAGGACATGGACACATCCCCACCAGTAATGAAGGGCTTCTCCAGCCTGAGCCCTGCCAAGTCACTTATTCCTCTTTGCAATTCCGTGTGATGGCACCTGTGTGATGCAGCCCAGAAGCACGCATAGGAACCCAGCTCCTGGAGGGAGGGGATGGCAGCAGCTTGCCAAGATGATGCAGACCAAGGGTGGAATGGGTTGCACTGGTGCAGAGCAGGAGGACAGCCCTGGGGTGTTACAGGCCCTCCCCATCGCTTGCCGGTGCTGCTCTTTGGGGTTAGCTGGTGCAGAGGGTCCCTGCCGGGGGGATGCAGCAGAGGAGCCATGTATCCTGTGCTGAATTTCAGACATGCCCTTCCTCCCGGTTTTAGGTGCAGCCATCAGACACTGTGATGAGGAGAAGGGCTGGCTGGAGCCAGATCTCTTCAACTGCACTTCACCTGCCTTCAAGGAGCTCTCCGTGCTGGTAATCCCCTCTCGGCTCTGCAGCCCTGACAGGGCAGGAGCCGTACGAGCAAGGTTTCAAAGAGATCAGCTCTCCGTGGGCACCTAGAGTAGGAGTGGGTCTTGCCACAGTGCTCAGCACCTTTCTCTTCCCATCTCCTGCCCCCAAACCCATCCTGTGGGAGCATTGGTCTGAGCTGAAGTTCACTTTGGTTTCGTCTCGTCTCTTGAGTGTCCCCATCAGAAATGACCTGTGTCCTGCCCCAGTATTTGAGAGGAAAACAAATAACCCTGAGCAGGGCTGAATTGTTTGAAGCTGGCGGGATGTCTGCCCCATGGGACATCTGTAGCTTCCAGACCCTTCATCCCTTTGATGTATCCAGGCAAGTTCATTAAACACTTGCATCCCACTGAGGCTGAACTGTAACTGAAGCCAGGAGAGTTTCCAGGGAAGTATTGCTAGATGCTTGCCCTGTCCTTTCATCTCCTTGGCCTCTGTTATGTATGGTACTGGGTTAGCTGGGCCTGGCCCAGCGCAAGCCGTGATGTGTTGCTGGAGGCTGTTTGTCTGCCAGAGATGCTCCCTGTTCTAGTGACCACCACTGTGAGTGTCCCTGGCTTGTGCCATGGTTTCAGAAATCATCTCTGGGCCAAGCAGGGCCTGCAGCATCCCAGTTTCCCAGGGAGGAACCGCTTAATTGTTTAATCCCCTCCTTTCTCCCCACTGGCAGCTGGAGGGCTTGGAGAGGAACGAGACTGAGCTCAACACAATTGAAGCCAAGAAGCTGGCCCACCGGCTCCGGGCTGTGACAGACCACATGGACCACTACTTTGGCAATGACGTGCACATCACTTTCCGCCTGCTGTCCCGCCTCATGGCCTTTGAGAGCCGGCAGCGTGGCTTTGGCCTGACAGCCACGCAGGATGCCCACTTCAATGAGGTGAGTCCTTCCCCCAGATCAGGGTGGCTTCTGATGCTGCTTCTCTTTATCAGCCGCCCTGAGCCCAGGTCTCTGAGGGGATCGAGGATGTTGTGAGACCACGTCAGGAGCACTGGGCTCCCCAGTGCCACGCCGACATTGACCCACAGGAGCGAGACCTGTGAAGGCCACCTGCGTGGTCAGGGCTGGAGCTCAGCGTGGATGAGGAGAGGCAGAGAGCTGGGTTTGCTCAGCCTGGGGAAGGGAAGGCAAAGGGAGGTCTCATTGCTGCAAGTCCGTCATGGCAGGGGTGCAGGGAAAGTGTCTCTGCAGGACACTGGCTGATGAGCATTGAGGGTGGGGGCCCGTCGTAGCAGAAAGCACCCCTCTTCGCCAAGCCCTTGTGCTGCAGCCTGGGGTGGTCAGGATGGGGCCCAAAGGCAGTGCTTCCCTCACCCCCTGCCCCCGTGTCTCTCCCATGCAGAACCTGCTGCGCGCAGGCAGCTCCGTGCTGGCGCCCGAGAACCGGGAGCACTGGGCCATGCTGCCACACAGTGAGCACGGCAGTGCCAGCCTCATGGAGCAGCTGCGGGACTACTCGGGCACGCTGGCCAGCAACATGAAACTCACCTACCTCAACCCCGTCGGCGTCATCACCCCCAACATCAGTGAGTAGGAGCTGGCTGGTGGTTGGGCCTGGCCGTGGTGGTGCAGAGCCACTCCTCCATCATGCTCTGTCCCCTTCTCATCATCTCATTTCACCTCAGCGAGGGTGCAGATAACCTCCTTGGTGGCTCTCTCAAACATGGGGAGGTGTTTGTGAGGGATGTCCTGGTCCCATCCCTGCCTGGAGTAGATGACACACCACCAGGAGCCAGCAGTGTGCTGCCCTCTCCCAGTTAACTCCCAGTCTCTAATGAAAAAGCTGCTGGCCTCAGTGGCAGAAGTAGCCTGCCCTACGGCAGAGCAAGGTTCTGGGCTGGGAAGGAGCACTGTGGGTGCTGGGATCTCATGGCATGCCCAAACACGGGACATATCCACAACCCACCCTGTGACTTGTACGGACCCTTTGCCAGTGACTTCAAACCTGGGGTGCCCTGGAGCATGGTTGCTCTCCAGGTGGCCATCCTGGAGCTGACTTTCACCCCCTTGCTCCTCCGCAGTGCTGAGCATCGATCGCATGGAGAACCACTCCCATGTCCGCCGGCGCTACCCTCGCTACCACAGCAGCCTCTTCCGCGGCCAGCCCGCCTGGGACCCCCACACCCATGTTGTGCTGCCGCTGTCGGTGCTGAGCCCCCCGAAAGCTGAAGGTGAGCATGTGAACATCGCTTGGGGAACAGCGTGGGTGGGCGTGGAAGGGAAGATGTGTCCTTGCTGAGACCTGGCTCTGTCAGAGGTCCACAAGTCACCCTTGAGAGCTCAGAGCTTCTGACTTCACGTCCCAAAGGCTCCTGGTGGGCTCACAAGCTGCCTTCCGAGCAGCGTGTCTGTGTTCTCACCATCCCCTTGTGTGCCTCAGCTGCCGCCACGGCGGTGCCCACGCTGGCTGGGGGCGAAGGGAACTACACTGTGGAGAACTCCTCCCCGAGGCAGGTGCTGCCAGAGCCTGAGCCCGCTCTCACCGTGATCATCCTCATCATGTACCGCACCCTGGGGGGGCTGCTGCCTGCACGCTACCAGGTGGATCGCCGCAGCATCAGGTACGTCCTCCTCCCCTTTGCCCTCCACAAGCGCCTATGGGAAGAGGCTGGCTGGACTGTGCTCTGCCCCCTCCGGCAGTTGCTGAGTCCGTCTGCAATGGGTTGGGTTTGGTTCCCAGCCAGACGGTCCTGCGGTGCTCTGCCTCGTCCCCACCTTGGCGTTGCTCTGCCCCATGTTTCCTGACCCCATGGTGCGGGCTGGGCAGAGCTCTTCCTTCCGAGACATCAGCGCGGGAGGTCCGGGAAGCCCCCGGAGGGCTGCAGCTGCCAGGCATGGTGATGGTAGAGCTCTGTTGCTCCTTGCAGGCTCCCCAAGAATCCCGTGATGAACTCCCCCATCGTGAGCGTGTCTGTGTTCAGCAATCACACCTTCCTGCGGGGGCCCCTGGACACCCCACTCGTGCTGGAATTTTGCCTGCTGGAGACGACCAACAGGAGCAAACCTCTCTGCGTCCAGTGGAACCACTCCAGCCCGTGAGTCAAGCACAGCTGGGCCACTCGCTTTGAGTTGCTTTCCCCAGGCACCTCCTCGTTCCCCGAGTCTCCCTGGCCATGACAGGCTGCGTGCCTGGGCAGCACTGGGACGTGGGGGTTGCCGCCCTCTCCCAGGGGGTTCGTTCTTGCTGGGAGGGCACAGCAGGGTCCCTGCAGGGCTCCGGCTCCAGTACTTCAGCCGTAGGAGCACAGTTGTATCTGCTCGTAGAAAAGCCTTGCCAGTCACCCCTCTTTGCGGTTCCTTCCCCACACACCACACTCGTCTGTCTTCTCTCCTAAGTGCGCTCTACTTTTTGGTGGCTGCAGGACCAACCCCTCTGGCTTCTGGACAGCCAGGGACTGCGAACTTGTGTACCGAAACGCCACACACGTCCACTGCCAGTGCTCCCAGTTTGGCACCTTTGGGGTTCTCATGGACAGCTCGCACCGAGAGGTAACCTCAGCCTGCGAGGCTGCGGGCGGTGGTGGGGGCTGTTAGCCACTGGGTCCCAGAATAAGCAGGCACAGGCAGAAAATTCCCTGTAAGACACAAGTAGAGTTTGAGAGCCCAGCAGGCTTCCCGCGTCTCCCCCTAACACCGCTATTTGCCTTTCATTCTCCGCTGCTGCAGCAACTGGAAGGTGACCTGGAGACATTGGCAATTGTCACCTATTCCTTGGTGTCTCTCTCCTTGGTGGCTCTGCTGCTCACCTTCTCCTTCCTGACCTGCCTCAAAGGCCTCAAGTCCAACACACGTAGCATCCACTCCAACATATCAGTCACCCTCTTCTTCTCTGAGCTGCTCTTTCTCCTGGGCATCAACCGCACTGAGAACCAGGTCTGTGGGCTTGAACAAGCACGCCCATGGGGGTGGGGGTGATGCGTGGATGATGCAGTTAGCGTTGGCACTGTGGGACCATTTCTGAGTGGCTTTTGTCTCCCCAGTTTCTTTGCACTGTGATTGCCATCCTCCTCCACTGCTTCTTCCTCTCCACCTTCGCCTGGCTCTTTGTCCAGGGCCTCCACATCTACCGCATGCAGACGGAAGCCCGCAATGTCAACTTCGGGGCCATGCGTTTCTACTATGCCATCGGCTGGGGAGTGCCCGCCATCATCACCGGTAAGAGCTGCTTGTCCTACAGCCATGCCAAGAGTGCCAGTTCTCAGCAGCCTCCTGATCCCCTGGTGTTGCCTGGCTCGCTCACCCGGTGGGGAGAGCTGAGGGTGGGCTTGCCATGGCCAGCAGTGCTGGCAGCGAGCAGTGCTCTGGTGGTCAGCTGGGGACCACCTATCAAGGGCTGTCGTCTTGCCTCCTGGGGAGAAGTAATTCCTCAGTGCATCTCCCCATGGGGCTTGTTTGATGGGCACAGGGCTCCTGCTGTCCCAGGGCTTGTGGTTAAGCTCTCGTTTCCCAAGCCTGCATGCTTGGGTGATCTGTTGCTGGCAGTGAATACCTGCTGGGTTGGGTCAGGGGCGCCTGGAGAAACGGAAATAAAGGCCCTGATGCTGAGGCTCGCAGTCCTGGCTCGTTTCCGTGTGGCAGGGAAGCCTGTGCACAGGGCAAGGAGCAGCAAGAGAGCCCCTTCACGGCCTGCAGTGCTGGGATGGAATCGACATGGCTTGAGCAAGTCCAAGGCTGCTGGGTCTGGACCTGACCTCTCCCTCCCTCCTGCAGGGCTGGCCGTTGGCCTGGATCCTGAGGGCTACGGGAACCCTGACTTCTGCTGGATTTCCATTCATGATAAGCTGGTCTGGAGCTTTGCAGGCCCCATTACTGTCGTCATTGTGGTAAAACCCTGTCCTGTTTCACCCACAGCCCTCTCCTGCCTCCCTTCTCCACACCACGGGCACTCGCCCCTTCCTTGGCTGCCCACTGCCTGCCCCCTTCTCTGTATTCTCCTTCCTCAGTTAGAGGCCCTCTCTCTGTTCCTCCTCGCTCCAGCCAAACTTGGGGGAGGCCATGGCTCGGGCGTGAAGGGGAAAGGAGGGGACGTTCGCATGGGCCTGGCGGACCTGGAGTCTGCCCACGCTCTGCGCTGGGGATGTCAGGTCAGAGCTGGCCCTTGGCACAGCTTCTAATCAGTGCCAACGCTTTCAGATGAATGGGGTCATGTTCCTGCTTGTGGCCAAGATGTCCTGTTCCCCAGGCCAAAAGGAGACCAAGAAGAAATCGGTTCTGTGAGTATTAGTGGCCAAACTCCCAGCAGAGCTCCTGTGGCTCGTGGTTTTTAGTATTTTCAGTGATCATCCTCCCTCTTCCACCATCGCAGTGTCCCTCTCTGCATCAGTGTCAGCCTTGCAGCCGCTCTCCTCTCCCACACCTGCCGGCCATGTTAACCCTTCCTAAACTTTGTCCTTTCCTCTCGTTCCTACATCCCCATCTCCACGCTGTCCCACCAGCCTGTCCCCCTTCGCCGCCTGCCCTCACAGCCACCCCTTGTGTCTGCCTGGATTCAACACTCTGCCCTTGTCGACTCTCAGCACCTGCTTTTTCTTCCACTCCATGCTCCTTCTGAGACCTTTCCCAGCTCCCTCCTGGGCCAGCCCTGGAGCTTGGCTCAGCTCTCCGTGGCTCTGAGTGACCTGTGTCATTCGGGCCCCTGTGTTTGCCATGTGTGATCCAGAAGGGAAGGCCCGGGAGTCGGGACGAGCCGAACCGCTGTGCAGAGCTGAGCCCGCAGTGCTGGGCGCAGCAGGGAGGGCTGGGCAGGAGCGCGCTTTCCCCTCTGGATTGCTGTCTGCGAGCACTAGACTGTAGATTAACAACACGCACTAACCTCTCGGTGTGTGTCTGTGTGCCTGTCTGTCTGTCTGTCTCTCTCTCCAGCATGACGTTACGGAGCTCCTTTGTTCTGCTTCTAGTTATTAGCACTACCTGGCTCTTTGGCCTCTTGGCTGTCAACAACAGTGTCCTGGCTTTCCACTACCTCTACACTGTCCTCTGCAGCCTCCAGGTAACTGCCCGGCCTCTGCCAGGGGAGGGGACAGGTCAGCCCAGGAGAGCGTCCCTGCGGTCCCCACAGCCATCGATGGAGAGTGGGCGCCCCACGCTGAGCCCTCAGCATTCCGCTGGGCTCCTCGTCCCTGCCGTTGTCACCGCTGCAGCAGCGAGTGGCTCCCGCCGGCCCCCGCCTCCATTCGCCCCCGGCAGTGGGGCACGG